TAAAGATGCAAAGAAAGGTGATGAAGCAAAGGATGCCAAGAAAGATGCAAAGAAAGATTCAAAGAAGGGGAGTAAAAAAGATGAAAAGAAGCCTGGTGGTGAAATAAAGGATGAAGCCAAGAAAGATGTGAAAAAAGATGACAAGAAAGATGCCAAGAAAGATACCAAGAAAGATGCCAAGAAAGATGACAAGAAAGATGCCAAGAAAGATGACAAGAAGGATGCCAAGAAAGATGCCAAGAAAGATACTGACACAGAATCTGCTGACTCAAAGTCCGACGCAAAGAAGGGTACAAAGAAGAGTGTAAAGAAGGGCAAGTAGGTCTTGCCTCATAGTTTAAACTAAAAGAATAATTGAAAAACATATTTGACAAACCAACTTTAGTAGCCTGAAGCTGAATCTATGAGTAAAAATGCAGTTTCAAACAATTAATCAAGTACTTTTTAAAAGAAGGCAAAGAAGAATATAAGGGACTTGGAAAAGATGTGTAAAAATGTAAGAAAGATGTTAAGAAAAATCAAGGGAGGAGCTATTGAAGGAATTGAAGAATACTTATGCTAAAGTTGGAGGTAAGAAAAATTCAACAAAAATCCCTAAAAACATTCAAAGAAGTATATTCAAATGAGGACGTGGAAGATAATGACACTGAATACAAAAACAAAAACAGAAAACTGTTCAATAAATGCTTGGAGGCTGATGCTGTATGTATGATTCAAATAAACTCAATCCGTATTCATAGATTCAAATAGGGAATTATAGGAGTCACGAAAGGAAGTTAAACAACTTTCAGAAAGTCTACTTTAAATTAAATATAAGTTAAAGATAGCTTTCCTCAGGAAAAAAAAAGAAAGAAAAAGAAAAGAAGAACAAAGAAAATATGACTTCCCTGTGAGCCTACACCACCCTCTCTGAAGTTTAAACAACCACAACCATGTTTATGGTTGTTGAATGTTCCACTTTCAAGCCAAGGTAAGCACAGTGGGTAAGTTAGCTTTGTTTTATTTTAAGCCAAATTGAACTTAAAAATAATTGAACCAAATTATGGTTAGTTAGGAGGAATAAGTTCAAGAGGTTTTCTTGTTTGTTTTTTATAACATGGTGACTATAGTTCATTATATTTTGTATTCTTGAAAAATGTGGAGAGTGGATGTTAAGTATTCTCCCCAGAAAAATGATGACCATGTAATGTGATGCATTGGTTAATTAGCTAGGTTTAACCATTCCACAGCATATTTATGCTTGAAAGCATCATGTTGTACATGATAAATACAATTTAATCTGTCAATTAAGAAAATAAATTTGTTAATCCACTCACGTATTGATGGACATTTGGGTTGTTTCCACATCTTTGCAATTGTGAATTTTGCTGCTATAAACATTCAGGTGCAGGTGTCTTTTTTATAGAGTATCATTTGTTCTTTTGGTTAGATGCCCAGTAATGG